TAGTTGTCTGCTGGGTGAGAAGGAGTTTCCTAGCAATTCTTCTTTCTCCAAGCCCCAGGACTTCAAAGGTTCTAAAAAGGCAGCAGGCAAATACATACGTATGTACGTATGCACACCTGGATGGCCCAGGATATTGTAGCTCAAGTGGCTGACAGATTTGATCACTGCTTTGACAGGGAAGTTAACTCTTGCTTTCAACTGGACATCATTGTGCGCAAGTCTTGCCAATCAAGGTGCATTATAGACCCTGTTCTTGTCATGTAGTTATCCTTTGTGTTAATATAGTAGTATCCTGGTCCACATGGCTGTTCATTATATAATAAAATTGGTGAGAGATTTTGAAGAAGTTCAATATTCTACGTCACTCATGTATGCCAAAACGTACTTATTAGTGTTATATGAAGAGGCAAATTGGACTCAATGATTATCTGTGTCCTACACACCTTCTTTCTCAAGTCTGATCTCTCTGTTGTGTCTTCTGCTACAACACTGCGCTTTTTTCCAGATTGTGTTCGTCTTGAGTCAGCTAGTGAAATGTGAACAACTGGTAAGTTTTGTCATTTGGTTTTATACGGCGGTTGTGCAGAGTGACAAGGAACTTAATTGTCCTACTCTAACTGAACTGGTTGCCAAGCCCATATCCCAAGCATGAGAGAAGGGAGAAATCAGTACTGCAGAAAATTAAGGAAGTGATGATGGAAATACCACATTATTTTTTGAATTACTGTATAGTGTAATGTTGCTGTTGACAAGGGCATCATAATCACTTCTGCAAACAACTTTTGTCAGGGATTTATAACTGTGAAGAAATTTGTCTAGGCCTGAAACTTGGCATCATCTCATTTAACAAAGTACTAAATTATTGTCATATATGCTTTAAAGACTTGTATGTGTGGTGTGTGTTGATTTCCATGATAAGTACAGCTATTTGCCCTTCAAACAGGTGACATTATATCTGCTTTAGGGGTTTACCTAGACGCAAAAGGATTACAAGGACTTAAAGCAAAAGCCATCTGTATAGAGGATACCGAGAAGAAAATCAAAGTGAAAGAACCTTTAAAATGAGATTAACCAACAACCCTGGATTTCTGGTTTTGTGACTATACAAAGAAGCCGCAATGCCTTTAGTACAATTCCTGGGTAAAGCTTGCCTTTTCAGTAGTGGACACTAAATGGCCCAAGAAGGTGTTCGCTATGAGCAGCATGTTTATACTTGCCACTCTTCCTGCTGTGAATAAGCCTGCTCATCGTCTCAGCTATTTATGAACTGGATTTAACAACTACAGCACCAGTCACAAAGAATTTACTGTAATATATCCATATTGGTCTTTTCTTGTTGGTTTCATAAAATGTTCACATAAGCTGACCTTTTTGTCGTGGAGGTATTAGAGAGTGGCAGTGATACAGATGCATCACCTTTCATGCAGTCCGTATTATATAGTTTTCAAAGGCTTTATTGATAAGGGATTCAAGTAGGAAAGTTATCACAAAAAAAGTTTCTGGTTGTTTCATAACAAGATGCACCTATCAGACAGGATGTAAATGTGTTATTTTTAAGATCAAAGAACAGGTAGATAGTTTTGAAATGGGCTCATTAAGGCAGTAACGATCTGATAAAGCTGACTCTCCTGATTTCTGGTGTAGAGTTAATTGAAAGGATATTTAGCATTGATTTGATACCTCTCTATAAACATTCTCCTCACAAATAAGTGGAAGTATAGAAATGCACATCAACTTTATTGGTCATCAGCTTGGCTCTGTCCAGTATTCCAGAGTTTGATCCCCTTTGCTGTCCCTACAGAATGGCTTTAAAGCTCACTTGGTGCACAGTCAGACTTCTGGCATTTTGTAGTTGCTCTTTTATCTTTATAATAAAACATGTATTTAACAACAATTAAAAGTTGAAACAGCTTGCTGGCAGATGGGATGGATTTTCCATCTCCTGAAGTTTTCAAAAGTGTCTTTCAAAAATATGTTCATTTCACGGTCTGTGTTAGAGAGACGACTGAACTAGAGTATCATAGTGGTTTTTCTTGACTTCATAGTTTATCCATATTTCTATCGTTTATTTTTTTGTTATTCTCTATGTAGTGTTTTCTTTATCCTTCTAATTCCTACCTAAAATTACATTTAATACATAATCTTTAAGTCAAGCCTACTTCCTTAACCAGCCAAATACTAAATAGAACTGGTAATATAGATTACATGGCACAAATGACTTGTGCCTTGAGAATCAGGAGACCCCTTTCTAAAATCACTGTTGGCATAGTTAAATACACTGCAGGCCCTAATCTCAGATACTTCGTGGTAAGTTGTGCTGTGTTCTTCCACTCAAGTAATGAACTTAGCAATATAAGTAGAAAAAGTGAAGATGCTAACTGGGGTTACTCTTGCATTCTTTAACTAAAGCACATGCGTTGCTAAGAAGATCCCAAAGACTGGTCTCAAATATAAAACTGAATTGAATATTGATTTTTATTTTAGTTCATTTAGTTGTTTGTTTTTTTCCCTGGAGTGAGATAACTGATTTTGGTGCTTTGTATGAAAATTGAATTGCTGAGATCCTAAGCTGTGGAATGTGGTTACTACTCATCTGCATTAACAACCATTTAAAGAAATTTTATAGGAATTTTTATTATACACTTACGTGTAGATTTAAATAACCTTTATTAATACACTCCATTGAACAATAACATACATTTTTAAAATGTCATAAATGCAGAGAAAATTTAACTACCACGGATATGCAATGGTCACCATTTATAAGCGCAGCAAGATTAATATTTGCCATGCAACTGCATCTGAAAAACTGCCTTAGTTCCTATTTTATGGGTAATATTGTAGTAATCTGTTAAAGGTTTATTTATTTGGCTGAAGCAGTTTGCTAAATGACTGCAGTAATTCTAGAGTCAAAATTATGTATTTATGGAATACAGTAATGATTTGTTTGCTTTTAAAGGACAAAATACTTGCCTTTAAATTAATTTCTAATAATAAGCAGTATGAAATGGAGTTGGAAAGATGAGGTTGTTGGGCAGTTGTTATTATCTAGTAATGACCTCTGTCATTGATGGTTTGCAAATTAATCCCTCCGCCAACAAAACAGGAGGAGACAGAGTGAAAGGGCAGATAAATAGTTTGAAAATTGGTTAGCTCAATCTTCCAAAGAATATTAATAAATCACTTGATGTCCAGTTGGTGCTTGGTAAGGAGCTTAGTGCACCAGGGAATCAATTCTGGGACTGATATTATTAAATATCCTCCTTAACAACCTGGATGAGAAGACAGTGTGCTCCCTTGAGAAGTCTTGAGGTGATGCACAACTGTGGGGGAAGAGGTTGACCTGCTGGATTGTAGAGCTACAGTTCAGAGGGACCTTCACAAACCTGAGGGTTGTGCTAACAGAAAGTCTGTAAAGTTCAGCCAGAACGGCTGTGCAGGTGTAAGCCATTTGTTGACTCAATTGGAAATTAGAGACTAAGATTTGTTATCGTTATTGAAATAAATAATGCATGCTTTCACACTAATTTAAGATGCTTCAGTTTAGCTCACTCTAAATTCTGTTGCTTCCACTGCATATAGAAAAATTTGGACGGCAGGTGGAGCATTGATTCGCAAAGTGTATACAATTGCTACACTTGAAATGCATACCTCAAGTATGGGCTCTCTTGACTGTCCCTAGACTGTCTGATAGTCATAGGTGAGGGATATTTATATGGCTGTACAAGGAAATAGGATCTGTAAATTGGTATTGTATAGAGCAAGATAGCCTTTTGGTGGACGATAGGCTGCTTCATTATATCAATGCTTTCTAACGGTTTGCTCTCTTCAGAGAGCTTCAAAAAGCTAAACTCTACTTTGCCATTAGAGTAGGTTCATCTATTATGTGGCCTCAATAATGTTACCTGGAGGTAAGTCTGTGCGAAAGAAAATGCCTTAAAATGTAAAAATGGAGGGACAATGTAGTGTTGTAGGTGTCAGTACAATATCCATCACTGTAAGAGGTTTAATATCTTTATCTTCATTTTATTCTAATTGATGAGCGAGTCTGATGTTTGAAAAGTCCTAAATTACACATGCTTATGTGATGGAATAGCTATTGTCAAAGCATGGAGGAAAATGGCACCCTATTGTGGCAGTCTGTTAAAAATGATTTGTTGAAAATTGACTTTGAATGTTTCTACTGGAGGTCAGAGTTCCCTTTAGAGGACTCATACTTCCACAGAAGTATCTAGAATTGTCACAGATATGCATCGCTATTAAAGGAATGATTTTGATACAGATACTTACCTGGCAGTGCTTTTGATTCATTAAAATGGGAAAAATAAGTGGAGCAAAACAGCTGGGACAATTTCTAAGTAAATTCATCAGTCATTCAGGAACTATGCATTTAAAATACCTATAAATAATAGAATGCTCCATCTAAATGGAACCCTTTTATTCATGTGTAAGTACAGTGTCACCCTGAAATTTCTTTTTTAACTTATCAGTTCGTGTTTAGAATCAGATCAGGTAAGTTATATTATTTCTACTTTTTCAACTTTATTTTAACAGCAGTATTTTGTATGGTGTGTGAAATGAAATTGATACACTCAGTTGTTAAACTTTAAAATTACTTTCAGGTAATAATTAATTGCTTTGGAAACTCTGTGCCTTCACTCAATTTTTTTAATATTATCTTGGAGACTGACAAAATAATAGGATAACTTTTGTGTTTTGCCGTTGGCACTTGTAAATCCCCTTTATTCATATTCTTACAATATATTATATTCCTTTAAATATCTTCTTTCCCCTCTGATGATGTTCATGGGATGGCTGATCCTACAAAAGAAGACAGGACAATGGAAACAGGGAGACTGAAATACTGAGAACCCAGTTTTTGCTTTTTATTATATATATTTAGTTCTCCCAGGTTTACAAAGAATAAAGAAATTGTTTAGGTATACATAAGGAAACAAATGTTTAGGGTTTTTTAAAATCTTGTTTTAATAGATAAAAAGATGGCCTATCACAAAGTGAATGCAGACCAGAGAGCACAAGGGCACTCCCCGTACCTTGACAACGATGAGCTCCAAGCTACAGCGCTGGAACTGGAATGGGACATGGAAAAAGAGCTGGAGGAGCCTGGCTTTGACCATTTCCGTCTGGATGGTGTGGTCCAGCATCACCTGGGAAACTCGCAGAGCCCTGACCTTGATCTCGAGCCCATTCAGCCATCATCTTCTCCAAAGGGAAGATTCCAGCGGCTTCAGGAAGACCCCGACTACATTTCACACTATACGAGACAGGCACCAAAGAGCAACCGCTGCAATGTTTTTCAGATACTGAAAGTATTTTGCACTGCTTTAATTTTATTTATTTTTGGAATTGTGGTAGGTTATTATGCACGCAAGAAATGCCCTTCTCCCCCAGCATCTCAAGAACCAAATAACCTTCACATCTACCATGACATTCTCAAGGAAATCAAAGCTGAAAATATTCAACAGGTTTACAGGTATGTACGTTGACATGTTTTTGTCTAAATGCAGTCAGGTGCCAATGTTAAGACTTCTTGTGATTTGTTTTATGTGGAATCTTATTTAGAAACCTTGACTTTTCCTTCGTGTTCAGTTTTCTCATTGATGCTTGGGAAGCTTTCATAAGCATATATGGAACTAGAGTAATTTTTAACAATGTGGATTTGTGCTAGTCATTATAGTTTTTGCTTTAATAACATTCTATTGCTAAATATATTAATATTAGGTTTAATGTACACAAATTGATAAACATAGATAATTCAAAGTGAACATAAATATAGATGCTAGACCAACTGTCCTAGATCCAGTCGATTGTCAAATAACATTGTTGAAAAGCAAGATTTTAGATGGCGTTTTGTAATATTTGGTGCTTTAAGAAATCCCCATCTAATCTCTGGCAAATAAGTGGATCCTGGCTTTTGTTTTTCAGTCTATATGGTGAAGTAAACCTTTAGTCTGCATGTGTTTAGGAGGGAAAATTTGAACTCTGAAAGACTGATTTTTTTTTTCTTTATTACCTGTTTTATGAATATAAAATGTTGTAAAATATCTACTGACTGGGTTTGATTTTAATTTTTTTTTTCCATGTGGAATCTTTTCACTGCTTTCAAAGTTTATAACACACGTTCGTATCAGAGTATAATCACTTTTCTGTAGCAGTGAATGTGGAAGAAACTAGGTTTTCCTGCCAACTTGTGAAAGTTATTTCTGTATGAGGGGGGAGATGAGCTTATTTCTGGCTTCTGGAACTGCAAGTTCCTTTTTCATGGTAAAGGAAACGCATTGTAGAATTTTTGATCAGTACCAGTTCAGAAGCACCATAACTTACATTCCTGAGGTTAGAAAGGATTGTTGTCATGGACATCCAAAGAGGTATTCTTGAGTAAATCAGAAATAGATTGAAAGTAACCACAGAAGTCTTCTAACATAATTTGTCTTTTATTATATTTGCTAAACCAAGCCTAAAATCCTGAAGCATTTAGTACCATGTTTTGAGCCAACACTGTTACTAAATTCAAGGGAAAAAAATAGGTATGAAGGATTTCATGTCAGTTTTCATGTGCTGAACTGACTCTACTTTATACAAATCTGATTATTTTCATAATGGGAAAGGGTATAGGTGATGAAAAATGTTGATTCTGAATGGTAAAAAATCAACATCTTTGTCTTCTCAGAGAGTGAATTGAACTGAATTCTGTCATTAGGCTTAGTCATGAACAAATAATGGAATTATTTGGAATAAGCTAAGCCCTACTGATTGGGTATTACACAAATTACAGCAAATTGCAGAGAACTCTGTCAGTCTCAGGATAATACTCCAATTCTTTGTGTTTGGGGGCTGGGAACCGCTTGCCATTTTATTATTTGAAAAGGTGGTTTAAAAACATCCCTTTTCAAACTCTTCATCACTTTTCAAACTATTTCAGCTAGCTATTAGGATATTAGTGAGAATCTGGACTTTAGGTAAAATGAATTATATGAATACTTTGAAACTTGAAAAACTTACGTAGTTGCTGTCCTTTAACATAATTCTTAGCATTTGGTAATTTTTTTTCTGCATAATTGCATGATTTCAACAAATGTAGTCAAGCATTAATTCACCTATGGGTTCTGTATATAAATATATAGTCAGTGCTTTTAGTATACCGCATTACCACAAGATTTTTCTTAACCCAACATTTTGATCTGAGACAGCTTTTATCCCATGTTGTGTTAGGTTGCTTTCCCTCAACATCTGTTTGGCAAGAGTCAGAGCTACTGCCAATGAAACCTGCGTCTATGTAGCCCCACAAATATAGAACATGGAACATATGTTGCTTGGGAAAAAAAAAAGCCCAAACCTGACAAAATCAATATATGTTATTCTAAGACTTCTTTCAATATAATATACTTCGAGTTAGTAGGAATAAGTGGCAGCTGCTTAGCTTGCAATTTCTAAATGTTACTGAGAATGACATTAATTTAATTTTCTTAGCTTACTACTTAGATCAGACTCAATAATGGTAAGGGATTTTGCTAACAGTCCTGATAAAGGACTTAGGAGTAAAACGTATAAAAGACACAGCAGTGCCAATCATATCGCCCAAGCAGACATCACCTTAATGTGCTTGGAGGTCTGGAGTGGGAACTTCCTACTGGGATGAAATCTGCTGCAGTCAGATGAAGCTTTGAGGACTGGGACCCTCTGGGCTTTTAAAGACGTTGCAGAAATGCACCAGGGGACTTGTGTTGATTTTGCTGGGATTTGGACTGCATTCTGTGCAAGCTGAATGAAGCCTCTCTGCCAATCTGAGTTAGGAATGGAGGATCGTGTAGGATAACAGCAGTTTGTCTGCACAGTTTGCTGAAATGGGAGATGCAGGCGTTCCTGTCCAGATTCTCCATTGGAGGCTCTTGGTGAGAGCTCGTGTGGCGCTCTTCTGTCAGTCCGGTACTGGCCATCTACATTAGCCAGGTCCGTGTTAAGCATTTTTCCCAGCAGACGTACTAGAAATCATTAAGTAAGAAAAGTCACTGTGTTGACTTCTATTCCTTCAACTTTGCACCTTGCTTCCTGTGAAGCGTCAATGCTACAGAAATTCAGTGCAATTTAGTACGGTTGTAATTACCGGCCTTGGCCAAGTTGCCTAATTAATGATACAGCCTAAGTAAAGATTATCTCTGTAAGCCTTTTTGAACACCTCCCCCCTCCCCCTGTAGGGAAGTGCTTACAATGTTGACGATAAAAAGTAGAAATCGGTTTACTGCTGATGTTTCAGAGGTTTCAAGAGGACTTAAGTTGTCAGAGGTGCCTGAAAGGGGGAAAGGAGTCACCACAAAAAACTGAAGAGTTTTCCTTACCCTGCACATTGCGTTTTATATGCTGACAAAAATTAGGACAAATACTGTTAATAGTATTCAGTTGGTAAATCTAACGTTTTAGGAGTGTGAGTACTAAATTTGCTCAGATAAATATTTATAAGAGAAAGAACCTGCTCCATAGTACAGGCAGAGTCAGAACTGGTAAAAACAGACATAATTCTGCAAACATCACTGAGCTGATAAGAATGCAGTAGTATTATATCTGTTCGTGCCACGTATATGACTTCTCTTCAGTTTTCTTTTGGAAGATACATGAAAAGGTTTTAGTTCAAGTCTGATGTAACTTAACTCCCACAAGCCTTCAGGACGAATATGGAAAGGACATAAATCCCACATCTAAAAGAGACCAGGTAGAAGTCGAGGTACAGAATACCTCAGGCACTGTTTAAAATTATATCCGTGACCAGCAAAATTTACCAGGGCAACACAGATGGTCAAAGCTGGTAAAACTTAAAGGCTGAAAGTAGGCTATCTCCTGGGACAGCTAGGTTGAGGCTCCATGGCAAGATTGAATTCTCAGAGCCCTTTTAGAGAGAGCGTGTCAAGAAGGGATACCTGGAGAGTAGTCATCTGTGCTTTGAGTCTGTGGTCTTGTTCTCTGTGGAATGTGTCTGTGGCTCTCAAATATAATCATTAGAATAGGAAAAGTCCTGTTTTCAAAAGTGATGAATGCATTTAGATGCCAAAGTCTATAAAATTTATAATAAATGCTTAAGGTCATAAGAGACAGACTTTCAAAAATACGGAAACATCCAACAATTTTGCTAAGCACACTGTTGAATTCTCAAAAGTAAATGAGCCCAATTTTCAATGAAAACTGGTATTGCTAAGCTACTTCTTAAAATGGAATTCAGATTCCTAATATCACTTAAGTGCTTTTGAAAATTCAGCTGGCTTTTCCTTCTTGTTGTGTATAAAAAGGGGGATGCTAAAGAAGTATATCTTTATCCTGTCGTTGTGCATATGCCAGATGCAGGTTAGTTATCCAATGGTCATTACCACATAATTGGATTATGCAGCAGATTATAATGAGTAGATTGATCCCCCCCCCCCTTCCCCAAATTAAAGATGAATGTGCTATTTGTGCTGTGTAGTGTCCCCTCTGCCTCCCGGGTGTTTTTTTTCCTTGCCCTACCTTCAGGAAAAGACAAGGGAAAAAATCCTAGACACCCTGGTCTGGAGTTAGAGGGAGCATTGTCACTGACTTCAAGGTTACTGTCACTAACTGCCAAGGCTTTGGTCATCATTTGTGTTGCTAAGCTTTTATAGTTCAGAACGGTAAACATTTGAGGTTTGTGCAAACTGAACTTTGGTGAGTGTTTTCAGTTAAGGTTTGAGTTGAATATTGTTAACAAAATCTAAAGAGACAAGGTAATGAAAGCACAAAAAGTAGCAGAAATACAGTCTCTTCAAAGACCTCTAATATTGTAATAACTACTGCCATCCAGTTTGGCATCTTTTTCTTAAAGAAAATATATTGTTTTGCATGTTTAACAGTGCAAAGCATTTCAATAGGGGAAATACGAAAGGTGGTATTTTTATTTTCTGTGACATTATTTAAGTTTTATTTTTCCAAATCCAGATAAAAATGAAGCAATCCTAATTTGTTTGGAAAATGTGGGGCTATCATACTTATTTTACAGGAAGTTATAATTTTGGCGTTGACTTCTGTAAATTAAACCGATAAACAAAGATTCGTGTTGAGTAGTAAACGTAAAGAAAAATGGACAGTTGTGTTGATGTCGATGATAATTCTAGCTATACATTATTTATCAGAATAGTTAATTCTCTCAAACACTGTTTTGAAAATTCTAATAGCCTTATACTGTGTAATTCTGTTCAACAGCCATACATTTCGGAGTGGATACATTTTTCAATGATTAAGACTGGGGAGCCACAGACAGAAGAGTCTTTGCTTTGCTCTTCATCCAGTCTATAGGGCAGCTCCTACATTTCAACTCTGCTTTTCATGCTGTATATTCTCACTCAAATGCTTTCTTCGCTATCATTTTTCCCCCCTTCAGCAATAGGGAGGTTTAAATCCCTTTGTAATACATCTAGTTGTAACTAACTGTCCTATGGAGGCGTATCTGTTCCTTCTTCCAGCTGGTAATAT